CAGTTTAAGATTTAATCACAGGAAACGTGATGTGATGCCATGACACAGGAATTCCCCTTTGTGCTGATGATTCTTGTGGCTTTCATTTAGCTGCAAGAAAGGAAAATCACCCTGTTGGAGTTGCACAAAAACTAAAATACACCGCTTGAGGCCTCCAATTACAACAGAGAAATATTGCAAAAATCATATGCTAGGAATTATGTCGTTAGTCATTGGTGAAAAACCAGCCAAACAAAATGAACATGCTTTGACTTGCTCTGATTTACTCCACCACCTTTATTTGAGAGCTGTAGTTATCAATTACTGTGTAAATAGGCTTAGTATGAATGTAAACATAAATTGTGGTTAATTGTTAAGTTAAACCACAAAAAACGATATGTAGGCTAGTAATGGAAAAACATTTGACGAACTACAAAAGTAAAATGTAGCATAATACTGATGCATTATTGGTTAACCAATTAACCAATATTATTATATAGGCCTACATTATAAGCAACAATTTAACGGGGGCATAATGGATGTATCTGTTTTGCTTTAGAAACTAATTGGGAGTAATATGTAAGTAATTTTGAATGCACAACTTTTACTTTTCTATTTTGTGGTGTTTCTACTTTTTCTCCTTTTAAATGCATATTTCCCTTGCAGATCATAGAGTTTATAAAACGTAAACAAAAGGACTTAGAATTAACTAGACATAAATGAAGACTTTGGACAGAAGACATTCTATTGGAAATAAAAGTTTACACCTTGCGGTTTGATTGTTGCTGCCAGCTCCAAAACTAAATGGGATGATTGGTGCACAGTCAGCAGGACAGAGGACACTGACTAAGCAAAGTGTCTGTGTTTGAATGAATCATAGGGAAAAGTGTGTGTGTGTGTGTGTGTGTGTGTGTGTGTGTGTGTGTGTGTGTGTGTGTGTGTGTGTGTGTGTGTGTATGTGTGTGTAAACGTCTATCTTTATCAAATAGGCTACATATGACACACATGGCATATCAACAGACAAAAGGTGTATTCAACTTGTTTTTTTGCAGATTGATCAGTGACATTTAGCAGCCCTGCAGCTTGTCTCTGTGCTATGATTGCATTACAAACACTGAGCTAAAAATATAGCTTGGCTTTAAGAAAACCCACACACAGGGTGGGACTTTGTTGCCTTTTTTCCATCTTCCTGCCTGCTTCCTTAAAGTCTCACAGTGTGTCTACTACATGACGTGTATGTAAATCAATTGACTTGCTTAAATACACTCCTTGTACAGCATTTCTTGACGATTAAACGGATGAAAGGACCGGTTTAACAGACGGGGTAGGTTAGATGTACATACCGAGGATCAGACAGGCAATATCCATCCCGATGAGAGGGACCCCTGCTCCTTCAAACATGTTGCGTCTTCTGGTAGGCCTACTCTTCGCTTCTGTAAAAAATGTCCGCTCCCCACTCTGCCGGATGCTTTTAGACGACACTAGAGGCAGCCTTTCTGCCGCACATTTCTCGCTGCTCCAGTACAAAATTATAAAAGTGTCATTGTGCTACCACGAAACTCCTGTTTGACTGTCCGAGGAGCTACAGCTACGGGGAATTCAAAACATGTAACAAAAAACACAGATCTAAAATCTAGATCTAATCTAAAACCACCACACAGCATGAATAGCTGCTCACCCTCCGAAATGCTCACACATGATAACACACTGGGGATTCTTCAGCTCATTACACCGTCCTGCCCACAGACACACTGCCGGGAAGCGCAGCAGGAGGAGCGCATCTACAGCTGAGATTAATGCTGCCTTCACGTACAGTCGGAAATCTCTTTGCTGGTTTGTTGTGACGTTGCGTGGGCGGGGAGAGTTTGGTGATAAAAGTGCATTCTCTCACAATAATGATGTATAAACGTTTACTGATATCGCTCAAAAGCACTGATGTCTATAGCACGCACATATAAATACACACGCACAGAACTAAATTAAATGTGTAATTATAATAATGAATAAGGATGTGGGGCTCAGCCAGGGGCGAAGATAGTGCCCCATTTCATAGGGACACTGATCCCCCATTTAAATATATATACATATATTAAAAGTTTAAACATATTTATTTTGTTGTTATCATTTTTTTCAATATATTTATTCACATGATCGTTGTAATTAAATCATCTCAGATCCTTCCGATGTGCCCACCCAGGGGTTAGTGTTACTTATGATTGTAAAACACATAGTAAAACAAATACCAAGTAAATATCGTGAACAAAATTACTCTCAGTTTCTTCCCCCCCATTTAAAAAATCTCACCTGCTCCCCTGGACTCAGCCATGCTTTTGGCGATTCAGTATTTTTTTATTATTGGGCTGTAATGTATTTCAATGTATAAACCTGTGTTTCAATTCTATAAATGTTTCTCTAAAAGTTGACATTTATTGAAATCATACTGAATTCTCTTGGTTTGCATTTTTTAATAATAACAATAAACACTTAGATGTGTTAGCCAGAGCTGAAAGTAGCAATACATCCGTACACAAATACTTTGTTAGGCCTACATGTTAAATCTCTACATGTAACGTTGAGGGAAATTGTAGAAAATACTCCAAATATACTTAAAAATAAAGAAGAAGTAGCCTGCTCATTTTGTAAATAGACTATCACCAATTGGCAATCATTAGGTAAAGTTAACCAACAATTGCTTAAAAATTGGAGTGAAGTGCAGTACTTGGAAACATATGGCAGTTACTGTTTAATGTCTGGTCTCTTGTGAATAAAGTTATCGCAATTGGCAGATTTAGTGTGACATTTCAGCTGTGTACTTGAATGCAGCACAGGACATGGATGTGGTAATAGGAGTTTCGGGCCTATCGCGTGCCAGCGTTGACTTTACGCAGCCGTCGGCCGATACAGAGTTGCTCCTCCTCTCTGCACTATTAATAGAAGAAAGTTAACTTTCTCCTCATAATGTACCAAAAATAATTAGCTGTGAGAATACTGTGAACGAATTCCCAGCGTGTCTCTTGTACAGTTTAGGTGGTATCTTGACTTTATAGTCCCACATTCAGCCTTCAACCAAAACAACGTTAACAGTTCAACACATTGGTTCTGCTTTGAGTCAAATGTCTATTTTGATACAAGTAGTACATTGTGGAAGTGCGTTTTAGACACAACAAAAAAACAGGAGTTCTCCAGTTATTTGAAAATAAGTTAAAGGGATTCACCACCATAACCCGAAAGAGTTGACAGCAAATGTAGAAGCAGAAACAGTGTCTAATTTAGAGAAACATACAATAAAGCAAAAGTACTCAAGCTTCCATTTCAATTTCAATTACTGATGTGTTTGTATTTATTGATCGCCATAACAAAACCTGCAATGCACTGAACAGAGGTATAAATAAATTGATAAAGTTTGATAAAAAAATAGCTTCATGTTTCTATGAGAAAAAGTACTGCTTCAGAGTTCATAGACCTATAACAAACCTTTATGTAGGTTGAATTCTACGGTGGCCCTGAAGTGCAAGACACAACAGCATTTTAGAAAACACTACAGCATTTCACAAAACACAACGGCATTTCAGAAAACGCTGCAGCATTTCACAAAACGCCGTAGCATTTCACAAAACCCTACAGCATTTCACAAAACATCGCAGCATTTCAGAAAACGCCGCAGTGTTTCAGAAAACACTACAGCATTTCACAAAACACAACATCATTTCACAAAACACTAAAGCATTTCAGAAAACGTCACAGCATTTAAAAAAACGCCACAGCATTTCACAAAATACAACAGCAGTTCACCAAACGCTGCAGCCTTTCAGAAAACACTACAGCATTTCAGAAAACACAATAGTATTTCACAAAACGCCGCAGCATTTAAAAAAACGCCACAGCATTTCACAAAACGCCGTAGCATTTCACAAAACCCTACAGCATTTCACAAAACGCCGCAGTGTTTCAGAAAACACTACAGCATTTCACAAAACACAACATCATTTCACAAAACACTAAAGCATTTCAGAAAACGCTGCAGCATTTAAAAAAACGTCACAGCATTTAAAAAAACGCCACAGCATTTCACAAAATACAACAGCAGTTCACCAAACGCTGCAGCATTTCAGAAAACACTACAGCATTTCAGAAAACACAATAGCATTTCACAAAACGCCGCAGCATTTAAAAAAACGCCACAGCATTTCACAAAATGCTGCAGCATTTCACAAAACGCCGCAGCATTTCAGAAAACACTACAGCATTTCACATCGCTCAGTTTCACTGCGGCTGTCAGCTGTGTTTACTCCTGTCATTCAAACAAGACGCGCTGGAGAGGGGGCGGGGCGTATCTACATGTACATTCTATGGGAGATACCAACTACAACAAAATGATGCCGAGGTAACTACATACTGATACCGGTTAGTAAAACCATGAATTAATGCTTTGACAAGTGTGCAGACAAGACGGCAGGCGAAAAAACTTTGAAAATGTGTGTTTTCTGAATGGAGATCGGGGTCGATCAGGCTAAACTAACGTGTAGCTGCTCCGTCCACACTCACAACAACGTCATACAGACATAAATAAAGCAGTGACTGTATTCGCCATGACATAGAGAGTCTGTGTTTGTACATGTTTAACTTTTGTCCAATGCTGTGGTGTTTTGTGAAATGATGTAGTGTTTTGTGAAATGATGTAGTGTTTTGTGAAATGCTGTGGTGTTTTGTGAAATGCTGTGACGTTTTGTGAAATGCTGTAGTGTTTTGTGAAATGCTGTGGCGTTTTGTGAAATGCTGTAGTGTTTTGTGAAATGCTGTAGTGTTTTGTGAAATGCTGTAGTGTTTTGTGAAATGCTGTAGTGTTTTGTGAAATGCTGTAGTGTTTTGTGAAATGCTGTAGCGTTTTGTGAAATGCTGTGACGTTTTGTGAAATGCTGTGACGTTTTGTGAAATGCTGCGGTATCTTGCACTTCAGGGCCACCGTAGAATCCAGCTCATTCAGTACAATTCAAGTTATTGATGATGTAACACCCCTGTAATGTTACCAGTTGATATAAACGGTGCAGGTTTTTTTTTTTCAGAGTGGCATGACAGACATAATTTGGGAATATCTGCTGTAAGAAAAGCACACAAAAAACACAAACTATTCCGCGTTACTTTTCTTGTGTCAATGATAATGTTTTCGTATGTATACCATAATCATGAGAAGCACAAATAATGAAACAGTAGAGAACAGAGGGTTCAGATAAAAACAGGCTTCACATGCATTGCAACAATTAAAAGGCAACAGGCGTCATACATACCCTGGAAAAAAATCAAGAAAACCCGAATAATGACGTCTGATGAGAAGCGTCAGCAGGAAGGAATGCAGGTGCATGGTTCAGAGGAGTGGTAGAGCCACAATAATATCTACTGGTGTATAAAGTTTCATAGCAGAGTAACAACTAATGTCATAACACTTCCAGATATTTAAAAACAAAGAAGGATCAAAGAAGTGAAGATAAGAAAAATCTACCAAGCAGGAGGAGTGGAATCGCGAATATGAGAAAGAACATTTCAGATGAAAATGCAGCGTGCACTCCCATGGAACAAGCCCTAAGAAAAACCTGTTATTACATTGAACTCCACCCAAATCAGTACGCAAATAGATCACATATTCTTTATTCTAACAAAATGTATCAGCCATTGTTTGCACAAGTTTATGTGTCCATGTGGAAAACAATAATTACAGTAAAAATATTTAGTTTGAAGCTGAATACTTATTGTCAGTAAATATAAATGATCATGAAACAAGAACACACTAAACAGAGATAACAAAAATAACCAAAAGCCCTTTAGCTTTGTCCTTATCATGTTCCTTGGTTTTTCTGCTTGCCCAAATGAGCTTCGATCTCTGGTTTGAATAAAAGCTCCCCGAGCTGGCCGTGCGATGCCTCGTTTATGGCTTTGGTCTGCATACACATCTTGTATTTGTCTGGAGGGAGCTCGTCTGCACAGTCCTTCTCGTGCCACAGGTGGAAAAGGCCCCGGGATGGAGAGCGAATCACCATTAGCTTACTGTGGAGGTACTTCCTGTACAGGTGCACGTCCTCCAACCCCCAGCCTTTGATGCTGCGGTCAAAACCCCCTGCAAGAAGAAGATAACTTTAAACATGCGCAGTGAGACAGTGAGGATCAGGAAATCAGGAATGGCATGCATGTTCAATGGCTGGGTTAAAATAAAAATAAAAAACAGTATTCAAGGAGGATGTTGTTTCCATAATTGAATTTGAACATACATTTAGTTGAACTGAACATAAAAAGGACATAAAGCAGAGAGAGATTATTCAAATGTGTAACTTAAAAGACATCAGGGATTTAAAGAGCTTTTTCTCAGTTAGGGAAAGAGTCTTGGAGTTAAAAAAAAAACAATACATAAACAATGTACAACTACCTTTGCAGCATTAGGCCACAACTTAATAAACAATTTCATCTTATGACAGAAAATGGTGGAATTCTGTAGACAAATACAAATAATGCTGTGCTTTCATGTATATAATGTGACATCAAATGTGATAGTTTATTGTCTTAGGTCTTACAAAACATGACTTTAGGGATAATTGTGAACAGGTTTTTCTTTACGGCAGAAGATGTATTACCTATGTTGAGGAAATCAGACCTGTACTGGCATGTCATACCAAACCCAAAGTCTCTCCAGAATCCAGTGTCTTTTTTTATCACCTGAAATAAAAAGACCAAATCAGAGGCAGACTTGACAATCTATTCATACACAATGAAGTACATGTATCTGATATATTTTAACCTACCAGTTGTTGTTGAACTGGGGGTAAAAGACTCTGATTACTGTAGATAATAGACGGGTTGTACTGGCTGAAGAGCACTGGGTAGTACACTCTCTTACCTGGAGAAGGAAGCAATACAACATAGTTAAAAGAAGCACTACAAGTACTGTCAAGTCAATAAAGCCATAAAAACACAAAACAAAATATCAAATGAAAAACAAACAGAACTGAACTAAACACATTTTCAGTTTTAAACACCAAGCAGGCAGGACGTGATGGATTTGTTTATTACTGGCAGCAACAGCAGAAGTGTGCCTGGAGTGAACATTTCAGAACTGAGTAGTTATTATGAGTGATAACAACAAGGCCTCTACAAAGAAATCTGAAAAGACTACCTTCTCCAGAAATCTCACCATAGCACTGCTGTATATATTTTAAGTATACATTTTGTCTTGAAACTTCATGTCAGCTAACACCTTTTACATTATTTTACACCCTATTCCTGGCCCCATGATATGTGGTAATATCAGGGCCGGCCCTGACCAATTTGCCGCCCTAGGCAAGATTTTAGCTGGCGCCCCCCCCCGGTAGTGGCATGACCACCAAAACAGAAAGATGCCCCCGGGAAGACTTTTTTTTTTAAATATTGAAGTTAAAAGCATCAATCTGGTGCACTTTGAGAGCAACATGAAGAGATCTATGGATACATCTCTCAACACCCATATGAAACAGAACTGTAAACAGATTTTCTTTTTCTTTATGGATATTTTACAAATCACTCCCCTTTCAAACTGTATTCTTGTTTATTAATAACAACTTTTTTGTACTGTCAGTATTTTATACCTGTTTTTCATCTATTCTCTTATTTTTTTATAACTATAATGATCATATAGAGGTGTGCCTTTACCTCACTGACTGAGGTTATCAGAGCCTCTCAGTCTTTCAGGAGAGAGCTCTCTAAAGCTCTCACCCCCGCGGCCGCTTACAATGTAAATTCCAATGTTAATAAAAGCACACAGAAGCTGTGTATGTTTTTTGGGAGTTTGATTTATTTTAAATGAATACAAATACAAATACAAAATAAATTAAAACCTATAATTGCACACTAAAATCATTATTTTAAAAAAAGAACAATTTCACATAAACCTTTTTACTGGGACTGGGGCAGTTCAACTTGATTTTGGGTGGGTGTGCCATAGTTTATGGGCGCTGTACGCGTAGTTATGTTAGTATAAGATAATAAGATGTACTTTGTTGATCCAAAATCGGGAAATTGTGTATTATGAAAAAAAAAAAAAAAATTCTTTTTAATTTCTAACTTTTTTTTTTTTCTTTTTTCCGGCGCCCCCTATGGGTTGATGGATTCGCCTATACTGCCTATGCCGAGGGCCGGCCCTGTGTGGTATGTCATAAAGCTAAGGATTAGATGGCAAGCTGCTTGTTACATAGTGGAAAAAGCACAACCCCCTGCTGGGATAGAGTGCAGGCAGCATACTGTATGAGGCAGCAGGTGTGACATTGAATCTCTGTGAGCTGATAATCAAACAGCAGGAGGTGTCACATTTTGTTGGCAGAGACAGAACAATTTATTTACATTCGGATTCAGCCAAAACAAACCATGGGAAATATGTGCTTATTTGTCCTTATTGTTTATAAAGCTGCAGGAATAGGTTTTGTTTTTTCACCTTAGGCTAAGAGCCATTATTCAAGTCAGCGAATGAGGCATGCACTTTTTTGTGCCAAATTGAAACCACTCTATTTACAGTAAATGGGTCAAACCGGCACTGTGCAGTTCAGCTTTTTGGAGCCCATCCAATAATACATGACCTTATATAACTTCTAGCATAATGTAGCTTTGCCCAACTTCAACCCAAGCAGAGGTCTGATCAGCATGAACTATTAAAAACACCCAGGGCCCATTGTTTAATGCAATGTAACAGGCGGCATTTCATAATTTATAGTTGATAATGTATTACTTTACAATTGATTTACTATTAGGAAATGTTACCATCTCCTTTAATATATTTGATATTCCCTTATATTGTTATATGACTGCCACTTAAAAAAAACAAAACATGGTTTACTTATTTGTATTTTTTATTTATTAAATATTTAGGTCTACTCTTCCCTTTTGCCTTTTATCTGCACTGTATATTTTTCTGATTTTCAGGATATTGTCATTCAATTAATCTGGGACAAAACTAGACTCCGGCACCTCATCCTGGCTCTGTGTTTTTTTTGGCTTTTTAAAATCTAGCCAGTAGATGTTTGTGCATGTCCCTTCAGATGTCCCATCATTGGCACTGCAACTGCCCACACTGCAAAGTAACCCAAATAGGAAGACAGGCTTTCACAAAGATAGTCGGACAGAACCAGCGTGTTTTAGAGATGGGAAAATGTTTCTTCTGCCCCGACTTTTCGGCTCCAGTTTATAGAAGGCTAAACAACTACCAACGTCTTTCTCTCCCAATTCTCTCACAATGTTGTTGAAAACCTAGAGTAACATCTCAAAAGTGCTCGAAAGGCCCATCATTTTGCAAATGTAACAGTATAGTACTTAATAAAACAACACTATATTACAGCTTTGGGATCACAATCACAATTATTTTTTTAATTAATAATTATTCGTCCAAGTCACTGTAACATCTGATAGTATGCTGACCTGGTAGGAGGGGATTAGGAGATCAAGGAATGTCTTTTCAAATTCATTAAAAACATTTAGTGTTTTTTTCCCCCAGAATAATGCCTACCCTGGAGTATAACTATTACTATATAAGGTTATTATGGATTCTTTGCCCAATAATGCCAAAAAAAACGTAAAAATGAAAGCTGCCTACCCCAGCTATAATGTTGTCATTATAAGCTTACTCTTGCATAAACAGATTATAGTATGAATCAAGGCTGGATAAAGTCTATGCAAGTTGTGCTGAATTTGAATGTTGAAAAGCTCAGGGATAAATTCTCCTTTCTCTCACCAGGTTCTGCGTTGAGACGACAAGAAGTTAAGAAGTCAGGGGTGAAGTGGATGTCAACATCACAGAAGAAGAGCAGAGCGTTCTGGCCACGCCTCCACGCCCGGGCGCCCACCTCCAACCCTCGACCACGAGAAAACTCCTCATTCAGCTGGATCAGAGTGAAGCTCCTGAACCGAGTTTCTCTGAGGGAGAGAAGAAGACAGGAGGGATGTCATGGAAACATCTGGGATACTGAGACAGGTACTCTAATGCATTTAAAATGTTAATACATTAATCAAAATGTTAGTTGGCTCATAGAAGATGAATGGTATTTTGCTCCTCACTTGTTTCCAACTTCGATTAGTTTTCAATACAAATTTATGACCGATTGAAAAGAGTATTGCAGTAAAAATATAGACCTGATCATTCTGCTTTTGTATGTTTGTTTGGTATGTCCACAAACTTGCACAGCATTAAATATTTCTGTAACTTTAATGTACTTCTGAACTGTCACAACATTTAAATGGAATTACAATTGATGAAGGGTGCATAATGACTTGTTTAGGAATTGAAACACACATTTTATGATTTGGTCCTAACTTGGGAATTGAACCATGACTTCACAGCCTATAATGGAGAATATTTCCCAGCTCTGGATCTTACACACTAGTTGTAACAACCCCCAAAATGGCTCTTTGTTAAGATGCCAATTGCATAATGCACGTCAGAGATGGTCGATTGAAAAAAATGAAATGTTTGTGGGTGAATATTGTTTGCTTCAACACAAAACCAATGTGAAAGGTTGATGATGTAACTGTAAACATTACCTGGTGGTCTGATCCAGGACTGCCTTCACCTGATCTATCTGATCTCGACCAAAGTAGACCACAGTCAGATGAACCCTGCTGTCTTTCTGGATGCACACTTCTCTGAACAAAAACACAACACAAAACATACAATCAATTATGTGTTAGGCCCACTTCTATAACACTTCTAAAACACTTAAAGCTATAAAAGCAATAAACTTCACATTTGATCTGAAGTGGAGAGGAGTCTTTTGTCTTTTCACTTTAGGCACTGCCAAATGCACTATTTTTAAGCGTGAGATCAATAATGTCCTGATGTAAGCAGTGTGAGTGGGTGCCATGCAGATTTTAATTTACTTTTTTTACCTGAAGTTGTTGATGAATTGCCTGAAAGCCTCTGGCCTCTTGGACAGAGGTACAATGATGTTGATGAGCGTGCTGCGCGTGTTCACGCTCTCGCTCTTCACCTTCAGCACGGGACCAAACGGCCTGAAGAAGACGACCTGTGTGAAGTCCCGTGGGCCGTCGCCTTTAAACATCAGCTCATAAACAGTTCCTCTGTCCCGTTCAGTACGGGTCAACCCTGTGACAGACAGGCAGCACTCTTATTTATTGGTCCAATGATTTTACCTATAATACTGTAGAAATTAGCAGTATTACAGAAACTGAACTCAGTGTTCTCCCATTATTGGCTTAAAAATATCTCAACACACTAAACTACTCCCTCATTGCTATGTCTCTTTTTCCCTATATCATATGTTTATATATTAGTACCAATTGACTAAGTTCTTCATAGAAAACGTTCAAACTAATGTTAGGGAACTTATGGAAAACAAAGCAATACCAATATTTTAAAGATATTATTAAAGGAGCAAAGGTTTTTATATCAATTACTCACATCCTTTGACCCTTTATTTGTGAAGAAAACTGCATTAAAACCCTACCATTTAAAAATGCCTGTGCACGCCTTGATAAATTAGGCCCAACTTTACTTGAATTGGTTAAAAACCTTGGAGGCATGCAAGTTTGCCAGACAAATTCAAGCAAACTCTAGGTTATTCATTGACATACAAATCATCATTTTGGGGTTAAGGTATTCCTTCAAATGTTACATCTCTAAGCTATTGATGGAAACTTTTTGTGTGAAGAGTCATGAATGATCTTTCTCACCTTCAATGAAGTCTGCAGGGGAGTATGTGCGCTTCCGCCTTGTGTTGTCTGTGCGTTGCTGCGGCCCGTTCAGGACGTGCAGAGCTGTCTCCAGCGTGCTTATCAGCTCGTCCCTGTGATCTTTCCTCACAGGCCTCTCTTCTGGGTGTCTTGTCAACCCCGTCTCCAGCTGGTACACCCTGAGTGACACAACAACACAAATTAAGGTGAGGTAAGATCTGACAGTAGACTCTTGGAGGCCTTGGCAGCTCTACTTTAGTCCTCACGAGGAACGAGTGCTCCACTCACCTCCTCAGAGTAAAAGTGTCGAAAGGAATCACTGCATACTCGCTGGGCAGCTTCACACCTGAGTTCACCTCGGCCTGGCTCAGCTGGGAGCGGAAGAACTCCTGAAGGACATGACGTAAGATTTACGTTTCCATATAACATCCATGTATCTCATCAGACAACATTACTCCATTATTCCTACCTTCATGTCGGTCTGTGTCGGGGTTTTGTGCAAACTCTCCAGACCCTGAGGCAGAATCCCTCTTGTTTTAGCCTTTTCCAGGGTCTCCTGAAGCTGCTGCGTCCTTTCCTGCAGAGCTTCCTTCAGCTGGGCTATCTGCTTGCTCAGGCTGTTCATGTAATGTCTGTGAGACTCCTCTCTTTCCTGCAACAAAGCCATGTATCCCTCCTTACTGGTGGCCCCCGCAGACCAAGAAAGAGATTGCTGGCTGCTGTGTGACGCGGGTTTACAGGCGAGGAGGTAGAACAGGAACAGACAGCAGCAGAGGCCCAGCACAATGAGGCCGACCCGGGCCACCAGGGCCAAAAGCCACCGTTTAAACATGGTGGGTATTCTTTTAACAAGCCTTAACCACTGGAGGCTTATAAAATCATGACGGTTCCTTTGTCACGTGGAGATGCTCCCACACCAAAAAGAGCAACCCATAATTCCTAAACCATAGATTAGTAAATATGGCTTTCAAAGAAGTTGTCCTGCTGTTTTCTTCTGTCGTCCATTTCTTTCACTTCATTAGGCAGCATCTTCACGAGACCATCACCGCAGCACTGAAACTCCCTAAATGATAAACAGAAAGTGCATTTTGAGGCTGAGGTTTCCAACCTTTTACCTTAAAAGATTATTTTCAGGATTGTTAAGGCTTGGATGCAGACTATCCAGTATTTCAAAAGGAAACACAAGTCTATCGGATATTTTAGTGCAGCCTTACAGGGCTGCTAGATGCTTTGGGCTAAATGCTAACGTCAACATGCTTTTGTTATGTTTACCATGTTCACTTAGCCATTTTCGCTAGTTAACAGGTTAACATTTGCTCATTAGCAAATGACAAAGTGCGGCTGAGGACTGTCATTCATTATAAACATAGTTTTCCTCAACTAAAGAAATGACAGGATGATGAGGTTTCAAAAGCTTTTATGAGTCATCCTCTGGGCACCATGAATTTAAGCAAGATGTATCTTTTGGGGATCCTAGATCATCAACAGATAGTAGTATCAACATAGAAACAAAGAAATCCATCTACATCTAACAAATTAAAATGACAATCGAAGAAAGTAAGTACTAACCTGGTCAGTCTCCTCTTGATGTGCCTCAATGTTTTGACAGCTTATTTCATTTCATGTCAGTTTGACGCGGCCTCATCTCGCTGCTGCTGGACTGCTGCTCAGGTAAATGCTGGCTGCTATAAAATGCACAGAAAGAGAAATAACCTGACCTTACATTCACTCAGCAGTGCCACGACGCTTAAGGTGGGAAGTGACAGAAACAAGCATTTCTCTGTGTTTTTCTCTCCACCCTGTGTATGTGTGTGTGTATGTGTGTGTGTGTGTGTGTGTGTGTGTGTGTGTGTGTGTGTGTGTGTGTGTGTGTGTGTGTGTGTGTGTGTGTGTGTGTGTGTGTGTGTGTGTGTGTGTGTGTGTGTGTGTGTGTGTGTGTGTGTGTGTGTGTGTGTGTGTGTGTGTGTGTGTTGCCATCATAAGTTTATTCACAGCACAGATGGCTCTTTATTGCTCAGGTAGAGGCTGATTTCATGAAAGACTTGCTTATGTTTCCAGGTCCACCCAAGCAGTGTGTGTGTGCGTGGTGTGTATATGTGCAAATGTGTGGGTATTTCAGCAAAAGTGTGTGTTTATGACATGATGCATGTGTTCATACCATGCTGACCCTTTTAAAGCATTCTACCATTAAGTATTGTAATCTTAATAAGAGGTTTAGCTTGTCTTTTGGATCCTGCACACTAATTAAATCCTTTTTTAGCATCAAAAGATGTTCAGCTTAAATGTCTTGGTTAACCTCCCATCTTTTGTGACTCATATAGTCGCATATAGTTGTATCTATTTAAAATGACTGCAGTGCTTCCATAATGCTGTCATCTCACAAGCAGGATATCACAGCAGGTCATCAGATTTATGATGAAACTGATACACACACATCATCACCACCAACACACTCTTAACACACTGCAATGCTGTAATTAAGGACAGACAGATTTAAAAGAAACATTTTTGATATATTCACCAACTGCTGTGAGTCTCAAAGGATAGTTTCGACCAGATGTCCATCATCCTGAGCTGCTCATCTTCTCCTCTCGCTGTGTTTCTTGCTTCTTTTGGAGGCATTTGTTTCGTCAGAACAGAGTTATCTCATCCATTTAATTATTGAACAAATCAATACCTTCTCAAAATAGAGAGTTAAAGTGTCCAAACTGAGTAACTCCTCTCAGTCTCCACCTTTTCCGTCCACCTCCCTCTCCTCTCAACTCTCTTTTTCCATCCCTCTCAGTCTATCAGACCCAGTGTTCACTTCCTTCCATTTGAGATCTCACACCATCTGCCTCCATCCTGAATCCCCTTTCAGCTCCTCCGAGGCTCCTCCTTGCCTTTAAGTCTAATTAGAAGGCGACAGGAGTAAAGAGGAATGCCCCTTTAGACTTTCGATGCTCTGCCACCTGCAATCTGCTGCGGGGAAATAGCTAGTTACTGGTTGGACCCACCAATAGCGCTGGGTCTTTCACATTTAATGAGGCAGCCTACAGATGCTCATTGTTTTCATATGGATGTCGACTCTGCACTTCTGACTCCTTTAAATCTTTCAGTTTGCTACTGTGTTTCCCCCTGTTGAACATTTAAAACAATGGATTTCAGTGTCCAATATTAATAAATTTTCTTTAACACGACACTTCATAATGAAAGTCTCTAAATAATATTAAAATAAAATGTATTATGTGGTAGTTATTCAGCCTGTATCAAACACATTTGATATGAAGACATGCACTGACAGAAAAAGGCCATTCTCTTACTTAAAGGTCTCCTATTATACTATTTGTAGGCATATATTATCGGTCTCAGATATATAAAAAACATGTCTATGAAGTGTTTTGCTCAAAATACCAAACAGATCACCCATTCTAGTCATGCCTCATACCCTCTATTTCAGCCCTGTTAGAGAAGTGCTGATTCTGGGTCCGTAGATTTTATTTTAAAAAAAGAAGGAAAAAAAGAACGAGAGATGAGAGCTCATGCAGGAGAATTCTACCCAGATACTCAGCTAAATGCTGCCGTGATTAGACGCCATATTATGTTCCAAACCACATCAAGGATTATTTCTGAAACAGTTTGGAGCTCAAATGCTTTTTCTCTCACAGGTTTACCACAAGGTGAGTTCCTTTTTTATATCCTGATTTTTTACACATACTCTCCAGTACAGCGTCAGCTCTGAGTGTTAGCGATGCTTGCTAATGTAAACACAGATCATATTACTTCCAAAACGATGCGCATTGTTTCTGATACAGCAACGTTTCTGATATTGCCGTTGGCGTAAAGCCAGCCCACATTTCAGATATTACATCATATCGGACGCAAATCTGGATCAGCTCCGTTGAACCCACGTTTTTAGAGATTTGGGTACGGAGGAAAAGAGAGAGGGTTGTATTTTCTGACACTTTGTGAGTTCCCTTACACACCGAGGACACATATTTATGTATAGAAGACATCAAAAAGTGCATTTTGCATGGTAGGAGACCTTTAATATTTACTAAACAATGTATGTAGTTCCAATGCCCTTTAGCACTGACTTTCCACAAAAGGAAAACAAATCACCTTCAGCGGTATCTAGACTTGCAGTGAGTTAAAATCAATAAATCCCCAAAGAAAATATTCAAAATCTCTGATAGCGGTGCTGATAAAACAACGGCATGGTAAGATACTGTGGCATTATAAGTAGAAATATGTCATTTGGGTCATCTGACCCTTTAAAGTAAAAAATACATGTTTTATTTACTCTCGATGGAGTAAAAGCAATTGATAGAAATCATAACCAATTATGAAATCAACAAATCTTTACATCTGTAAAGAAGTGTTCCTTGCTTTTCTCTAGCGAAATAATTGATTTTACCAATCCAGAACTTTTCAGAACCATAATAAATCATTAAAAATGAATTTGTCTTTGGATAATTTACTATGGCATTCTTCTGCTTAAGGTTCAAAAGCCAAAAAGGTGGTGAACCAATGAGCTAGATTGAATAATCCAACACATTTTCCTACAGTTTTTCACCTCATGATGGCGCCAGATACAAGACTACCCAGAAATAAACAAGAGAAACTGAGCAAAACAGACAACTGTATTTATTATTGTTCAAGATATTTACATCTGTTTGGATTACAAAATGTGGAATGTGGCCAGAATCAGAGTGAACAAATCTCTTGGACATTTTCTTTTCTTTTCTTTTATTGGCACGCGGACTCATGTGAAGTCAACAGCCTCACACGTGTGTGTGTGTGAGTGTGTGTGTGTGTGTGTGTGTGTGTGTGTGTGTGTGTGTGTGTGTGTGTGTGTGTGTGTGTGTGAGAGTGTGTGGTGTGTGTGTGTGTGTGTGTGTGTGTTTGGCTTAATGTACAGTGCAGGTGCCTGTGGACAATGTGCTTTGTGAGTTTTGTGCTCAATTTTAGGCAGTGTTTCGCTTTCTGAATCGTGTAAATCACAAAAAATAGGATGGAGGAATGTAAAAACAGAATCACCAGCAATAATGCCACATAAATGTATAAAAGTGAGATCTAGTTTCTTCCCAGATGAATTCACAGAACATCACAGAGGCTTTGCTGCTTCTCTTCTCTTCACATGAAGCAGCTTCTCGGATACTTCACAGACTTTTATAAAAGATTCACCACACCTTAAAACAAGGGACCAGCAATGCTGCCTCCAAACTTTAGTCTTAACATTTTAGAAGAACAAACGTGGTATGTTTTTTTGTGAATTTAAAGTGCAATATCTAAAAAAAGAATCAACAAAAAAACACAATGTTCAAGTGAAAGGTAAAAAGTGTCAGTTCCTTTCATCTATGTTAACACAATTTAAACATGTTTGAACATTAAAATAACATCCCAGTGGGGAAAACAACACATTATATCACTGAGGAGGCGGGCACCAACATGGATTTTACACATCAATCATAAGTATTAAATCAGTTTGGCAATTGGTTTTACATGGAAATACTGATTAATTTGCTACATGTGGATTACAGTTTGAGATGTTAATATGATTAATTTAGGTCCCACTGATGACGCTTGAATTCAAATGTTCATCTTTTTTTTACCAATGCGACTTCATAATCTTTGGCCCAAAACCTTAAAAGTTCCCTTGAAGCAGTTTTAGTAAACCCTGTCTATGTCTTTGCCTCAATGTTGTTGGCTTCAGGGGCCTCATTTATAAACGGTGCGTAAGCACAAAAGATGGCATATGCAAGTTTCTACGCACTGTTTGCGATTTATAAAAAGAAAACTTGACGGGAAATGTGCGGTCCTCCACGCAAACTCTACCCCATGCGTACGCACTAAGCACAAAAACGGGAGAGACGAGAAACTGCGACACCGTTGGCAGAAGGAAGAATGGAGAGAAATATGTGGAAATAATACCATAAATAGAATGTTACCTCTCATTTATCATATGAAGAATTCATTTTCACAAATTGATTGAAGCCAATCTTAAAATGATTAAACAAACGCCTGTTTGAGACTCCTCAGTGCACACAAAAACATAACTTGGAGAAATAAATAAATACGGAAATGTTATTGATCACCCCTCGATTATGTTCTCTTGTTAAGAAATGTATTCTCATGAATGATGCGGTAAACAGAAGGACAGAATTACTTTAAAGGGGACCTATCATGCAAAATGCACTTTTGTACATCTTTTATACATGAATATGTGTCCAAGTGTCAGAAAACACAACCCTCTCTCTTTTCCTCCATACCCAAATTTCTAAAAACGGGGCTGCAACGGATCTGATACAGACTGATACAGATTTGAAAATTCTCTGACGTCAGGAACGAGGAGCTCCGCCTATATGGCCAACTCTCCACCTATCAGGGGAATGTGGGGTTGGGCAACAGCCGGCCATTGCCGCTCGAAAGCGCTGGAGACGCTGTAGTACATATGCCAGGCCTGTAAGTGGCACTGTAGTCTGCCGCAAAAGCAGCGAAGAAGACTTCCCGCGCATGGTTGCCATGGTTGCCCTTCTGTTTATTCTCCGCTGTGGCTCTTTTTCTCCCTCCCCGAGGCAAGCGTTTGCTCCTGCTGCTGTTATTCAATGCAATCCCTCCCCGTTGAGGCAAGCACTGTAATTCTCTCCGGTTAGTCCACCAGCAGATGACAAACATCCACCTCTCCGCCTCTTCCAAGGAACGAGGGGACCGTGCGGCAGAGTTTCAGTTAGATTTTTTTTCGCCGGTCAACATGTCTGTTAAAGTTGAAATCTTCCGGACAAAATTAGAAAAGTGCCGGTCAAAGGTCTTCTTTGTTATTTATTGAGCTTTAAAACAAATGAATAATGACTCTATATAATCATATAAGAATAAAACACGGAGGACGGAGATCTCTTTTTCTCCCCCTCTTCTGACAGCCCACCAGCTGATCTCCTGCAGGGGGGCGTGGTCAGCTGCAGCTCATTTGCATTAAAGCTACGTCACAGAATCAGCCCCTGCAAAAACAGGGCTGGAAAGAACAAATAGAGCGAAATGAGGCATGGCTAAAATGAAGGATCTGTTTGGTATTTTGAAAAAAAAAACTATATTTATATACTTTATATAGGTATGGCCCTACAATATATTGTTCAAATATAGCATGATAGGTCCACTTTAAACTGACGCCGTTTTGCATTTCTATAGGTTGTATAGATACGAGCATGCATATACTATCATGTTTAATCATGTTTTATGCCGTTCGCCGCTTACTTGATAAGTCGCTCGTAAAACACAGGAGGTATGGAAACTAAGAACACCATATGTGGTCAATTGTACAGCTAATATAACAACACATTAGTTGTATTTCCTTTAACTGGTGGATTATGGTTAAGGCTATGTGTATTCTTTTTGTCATTAACCTTTTTCTGAACTTTTTCACTTATTTATTACTTATTTTGGTGACGATCCGACCTCCATGCTGCTACTCTGGTTCAAACTGCATCCACCAAACAATAGGATTTATCTCGACCTTCCCAAAATAACCAAAATCTGACACGGGGTGTTTCTCAATGTCGAGTACGCTTGCTTGGTAGCACATGTCTTCCGAGTCACTTGCTTCAGAAGCGAGGTAAGAATCCTTCCTGGCATTCGGAAAACGAAGAGTGGAACAGGCTAGCAAGTGTGCAGGTGTGCGTCATATGAGAGGCCCGCCTTACATTTTCCGCCACAGATTTGGGGAAATTGGTCCGTGCGCAATGCATTGTGGGGATTTTAAGACCACGGAGTCTACACATGTGCAGCCTCGAAATGTGTCGCTACGAAGTACGCCGGGCTCGGTAGAATTCCAAGTATGCTGGACATTGGAACAGTCGGCGGCACTCGATGACGTAGTATGCTTGAAATAGTGGCTCTGGAGCAGCTTTACTCGACATTGAGAAACACCCATGGTGTGAGATGTCTTTTTTAGCTGTTTTAGCTCTTCTTCATGCAGTCAGTCAAAAGGAATGAATGAATGGGCGTTTCTTTGACTATTTATAGGCAAATATGGGCGTTACGTGAAGCCCGCAAAAGCTGCGCCGCATTTGGAGTTGATTGTGATTTATAAAAGGGAAACCGGCGTAGGATGTGCCGTACGCAGTCTTTTATTAATCGGAAAGTGTCGGTGCGTATTTATTTGCTTTGTCCTACGTAAGCAACCTTCCCACGCCAATCCTACGCAAGGCTTTATAAATGAGGCCCCAGGTATTTTTGGTAAACCCTTGTTGTACCTGTTGACATTTTTTTTTAAAATACAGAATTGTAAGCAGTGTAACTCCTCTCAACATGTTAAAACCGGCTCGAGATACACTTTCTGTTATATTCCATGGAATGCTCTTAACATCCCGATAGCAATGAATATCTTAAGTGCTTTGACAAAAAATCCATTAAAAAATGCATCTGTGGAAGCCGTAGTACTGTAAAAAGCACGACCAGTCATCTGAGCCGGCCCGGCTAAAATAACTGAATGGCCTACCTGCCTGTCAGCCTTCCATCTGTGCACAAACTTATCTCGTGCCCTCATTGGTCATGTGCGCATTCGTGTGTGTTGGAGGAGGGGCTCTGTAAGGAAGTGGCAGATTTGTTCCGGCTGTGTATTTCCAAATTCTAGCGCACTCGAGCTGGTTTCTCCAAAATTACCTACCCCACCTTTAAGGGACGATGAAATATATTTTTCTCTGTAGCTTTGTTTAAAAACGTCTTTACTAAAATAATTAAGTGAGAGATTTAATAACATCCTCCGATAATTATTTCATGTTAGTAACCACCATGACATTCAACACTCAAACATGCCGTGGGATCAGTGCCTCTGACCCCGCGCTGCCATCCTTCAACACTCACTTGTCGCTGTGTCATTAACCTGACTCGAGGTAACCAGAGAAGATGTGAGGGATGTGTGGGGGGGGGGGGGATGTTGAAAGAAGAGTGGTGGAATGATGTGTGGGTGGCTGGAGATAATCTCTCAGACATCACAAGGTGTCGTGTTGCCATCTTGGATATGGTCGCTAGGCAACAGCATCCTTCAGTCTTTCTCTGGGTGGTAACTAGGTTACCCCAATTTACTGTTATCATGTCGGTGTTTCTTCGCTGATTTTTTAACAGCAGCACAGGGTCCATGTTCCTGCTAGTCGCTAAATGATATCAGCTGCTCGGCCCCGGGCGCGGCGGGCGGGCCACCCCGGGCTGCAGGGGTCCTTCAGTTACACCAGTTCATCCAGAAGGGTCCCTATGCTGTGGTGCTGCTCAGGGGGGCCCGCTATTGGTTTGTTGCACATGGGGCAGACGCAGCGCACCTCCAACCATTTTACCAGACACCTGTTCAGGAGAGAAATTAAAAGGATAGAGCAACATGAGATCATGATTCCTCTCACTAATATGTTTCACTGATCAAAGCCAAGCCATACTTGATTAACCATGGGGAAGAAATATTTGGATCTTGGGCTGCAAATAACAATTAATTGTATTATCCATCCATCCATCTTCTCCCGCTTATCCGTGGTCGGGTCGCGGGGGTAGCAGTTCCAGCAGAGAGCCCCAAACTTTCTTTTCCCTGGCCACATCAACTAATTGTATTATGGTTGATGATATTCTAATATTTAAAGATAATCGGTTTAATATCACATAAAACAGAGAAAAACAGGACAGCTCCGTATTTGAGGGTCTGAAAAGCATTTCCTGCTATTTAAGCATGAAAATTACGTTAAAGTTATTGAAATTAGACTGCACTGTAACTTTTATCCATGTACTTTTTTCTTTTAATGTTTAATTGACTGCCATGTATTTTTTTTTTCTTTTAATGTTTATTTTATTAGCTTTTCTTTTTAATGACTGATTTTAAATGCCATTTTCTTAATCTCTTTCATTTTTTGTAAAGCACTTTGAATTGCCTTGTGTTGAAAAGTGCTATATAAATAAACTTGCCTTGCCTTGCCTTGCCTTGAAATTGTCAAAATATCCTAATTTATTTATTTTAAACGGACAATGTTTTGTATGTAAATTGATGTTCAAAGTAACTATAAGTGTAAAAATAAGGATAACGTGGCAAAGATGTTCCTCAAAACTGGACTTGTACATTTCACCACTGCCCATACATGAACATGAGAGAGCCCTGTAATATAAAGAAACTTTGATTGAAGTTAGTCCACATTTTCGTTTTATTCCTTGACTATGACTCATGATTCTTTTTTTTAATCTATAATAATAGATCCCACCCATTGACTTTTCTGCCCACGTTTCTCCAGCCAATCTTTAAGTATAATAATAATAACGTCTCTCAGACTTACTATAGCACAATGTACCACGTCCAAGATGTTAAGGAAGCTGAGCTTTAACAAACAACTGCTGTTTTATCTTTACTGCCATCACCTGGTACCTGTCCAATCTCCTGTCTTCATACAGACTGACGCTTAGTGAGGATTCTTCACATCAATAAAGTCTTTATCTTAAGTCTTTCTTTATTATACATTTCCATTAAATCTGTCCTTATTGAACTGCAGTTTGAGAGACATGGTTTAAACTGTTAAACATCTCAAAGAATATATTCAGCTTCTACTGTTATGCACTGTGTCAAACAAAAATAACATTATTTTTGCCTCTCTTCCATTAAGTCCCTCCTGATTAATATTGACATAAAAAAATCTTCTAATTTTCCAGATGACTGTGAGGAAATCACAATTTTAGAAACCTAACTAACATCAGGAATGCCTCCCCTACAAGATCATACAGTAGCACTATCTATTCCTGTTGTCTACCCATTGCATGCTGGGATACGTGTTTGCTCTCACTCTTTCTCCCTGAATGTTGAACAAGAGCTCCTGTAGCTGCAGTCAGCAATAAATCCACTGAAACTCTCTGTATAATTCCTGTAATCACTGAACTTTAGATGAAACATGAACGTTTTCATGTGAACAAGCCAGTGCGGGTGCAAAGCGGTAGCAAGCATCAGAGAAAGACTCCACTGTTCTCTCATGTACTCACTTCCTGTGGAAAGCATGTTGGCATGGCAACACTCCCAGCTCGTCTTTCACTTTGAAGTCCTCGAGACACACGGCACACGTCTGCTGCAGGAGGGACACACAGGACGCAGTGAGGACCCTCATTTGATGAAATTATCATGCATTATCTTTGTTTATGTTTGTGTCACATTATAAATCTCTTAAGGTGTGTTTATGTGCAAGAATCAGTGCAAATGTGCATGATAATCACATCCTTACCCCATGAAGATTCAACTTCTTTGGATCACCTTTTAAAACCACCTGCAAGATTGACACAAAATAAACATGTTTAAAAGAGGGTTTTGTTTCCGTAAAGTATGCTTAAATATTGCAGTCAAGTCTTTACCTCTCGGTATCCAAACCGCTCACTCTGGGCTTGGTGTCGTAGTTTGCTGAGGATTAAAAGAGAAAAAGGTTTTTACACTGATGGGGCCTTCTCTATGTGGCAGGGATTAGGTCTTATCAGAGTAAGGGACCTTTACATTAACAATGTTTTCGGTAGCTTTAGCCAACTCTCTGACAAATGTTGCCTTCCATGCACTCATCTATTTCGCTACTTCCAGGTCCGAAACTGGGTTAAACTAAACAACCCTTCCTTCCCCAATATCCCTCCGGATTCAATAATTGACTCAATTCTGGACACTTTAACAATCGAAAAAGGTCTGATTTCAAGAATTTACAATTCCGTCTCCCGTCTCACAGAAACATCGCTTGGTAAAATCAAACAACATTGGGAGGAGGAACTAGTCCAAGCTATAGATGATGAGGTCTGGGATGGCGCATTGGCGAGAGTGAACAATAGTACGTCCTGTGCCAGGCTCAATCTTATACAACTAAAAGTATATCCAAATGTTACGGACACCTGTAACAGATGCCACATGTCACCAGCAAACATGACTCACATGTTTTGGTCTTGTCCTCGCCTACAAGGATACTGGACAAGCATTTTCAATCACCTTACTGAGGCCTTGGACGTGGTATTGACACCATGTGCAGAAACTGCCATTTTTGGAGTACTACCTGGCCACCGAATGTTGAAGAGGAAAACTAAAGACAGTATAGCCTTTGCATCTATCTTAGCACGTAGAAGAATACTCCTAGAATGGAAATCTTCTATACCACCTAAAGCATCTCTATGGCTTAAAGATTTAATGTTGTACCTGAACTTGGAGAAGATTAAATATAACCTGAGGGGCTCCTCAAAGCTATTTGAATCTGTCTGGGGCTCTACGATAGCCTACATAGCTGAACTTAAGACACTACATTAAGGAGAAAGAGGGGGAACTACGAATGTATGTGTATGTTTTTTTTTTCCTTGTGTCTCTTTTTATCTGTTTTTTTTATTTGTTTATGTTAATTTTTATTTATTTATTTTTATTTATTTGTTCTGTCTTTGTATACATGTATGTATGTAGGTAGGTACGTGTATGTATTTGCATGTGTACATGTGGGTATACATATGAGTATATGGGTACAAGTATTACTGATACTATTCTTTATTCCCTTATCTATACATTTTCTTTTAATATTATCTTCTATATTACTTTACTTTTACCTATACAGGTATCTATTTTATTTATTTAGTTAGTTATTTATTTTACTAGCTAGGACCGGGAGGGAGGGAAAGGGGGAAAATAAATACAAATATTGACTGTATAAATGTAAACTCATTGTGCCTGACTCAATAAAAAAATTTAAAATATAAAAAGAGAAAAAGGTTTTTAATAAACATATTAAATTATGAGAAATTATTGGAAACAATCATTTTAACATGCAATCAACTATACTTTCGCTTGACGTTCTAGTTTAAAGTGATGTAAGAATCTGTCACTGAAGTAACAATAGAAACAGATGCAGGCAAGAATATTTAAAAGGTATGAGAACCCACACACACACACACACACACACACACACACACACACACACACACATTTCATCTTCTTACGATGGACCTTTTACACAGTGAGGAATGCAGAATACTATTTCCATATAAAATGTAAAGTCCTATTTATAAAGTAAACCAACATTTGATTGTTGCTGCTGGTTGCGGAACAGCTCATTCGTATCATATGTTTGTATGAATTAAAGTATACTTCTATGTTAGCAAAATTATAGTTTGCAAAGTAACTAGTAACTTTAGAGATGAATATAAAGGACAATTTGAAAGTGGTACATACAGTAAGTTACCCATTTGACACTTGTTTGTTAAAAGACAAAGATGTCTATATTTATTCTATGATGAGTTTCACAGCAGGTCCTTGGATCCCGGCTGAGATTTGGAGAAGTTTGTGCAGTAACATGATGTTGCTGTGTGTAACAGAAGCTGTGTAATTGCAGGGGTAAGCTTTGATAATTAACTCTTTTCAAACAACTACACATCCAGAGACAAAGACAAGTTCCCCTGGAAGCACACACACATTGATCCCACAATGTAGCAACTACACACGCCAATGCTAACACACACACACAAACATAGTTAATGAGTACAGTGCGTCTTTGAATCCCTGCACCACCCTAATAAACAACAATAGAGAGGAGATCTTTATCATTTGGCGAGCCGCGGGTTATTTTTGGCCTATTGTTTTTACACAACTAAACATAGACTCACATGTCTATCATTGTCTGGGATTTTAAATTAATGCAGTGAGAGCATCTTAGATGAGATATGAATAATTATTTATGCCATCTGTTACCCCTCAAATGAAATAAAAATACAAAATTGTTATGCTTTAAGTAAGGAAGTGACAGTTATTGGTTGTGTTTGTCACTTGGTTCATTGTTTACGCTGATTGCTAACAATCTTCCCTGCAGAACAATGTGAGGATACACGTTTTACATGTGTACAGATTTCCCATGGCTAAAGAATAATGTGAAGTGGGGTGAAAGGGGGGAATGACGGAGATTTCAGTGTTTCAGTTTTGTGCCCGGTCTACAAGAATAGAAAATGTTCATACAGCTACTGCAGACCAGTTATTATTGAACACAATGAATTCAACAGGTGTGGGGGGATAAAAGGATATGTGCCAAAAAAAACAACTACTGCTGCTTTTCCTTTCATTAATATTTTTAACATACTTTATTAAAGCCCATCAAACACTATATAATTTCCTTTGATATTAACCAAGCTGATGTACTGCTAATGTTAAAGGGGACCTATTATGCAAAATGCACTTTTTGATGTGTTTTATACATAAATATGTGTCCCCGGTGTGTTAGAGACTCTCTCTTTTCCTCGTTACCCACATCTAAAAAACAAAAAAAAACGGGGGTGGTGCAAACGAGCTGATCCAGGATTTGGGTGCTATGACGTCATTGGTAAAATCTGGCACACGTGACACGTCCCAACCTATCGTCTCCGTATACAGTCGTCTAGCTGAATCCCCTCACGCAGCTGTGTGTCTGTGTATTCAGCAGGATGTCTGCAGGAGGCACTTAGAGTAAAGTTGTTGAATATATAATACATATAATGGCACTGTTCTAGCGGTAAACACATAAGAAAGAACATGTCAAGCTATGTGCTGTATTAGAAACAATGCGCTGCGTGTTTTGGGAGTAATATGGTCTGTGTTTATAGTAGCAAGCATGCTAACACTCAGAGCTAACGCTGTACTGGAGAGAATATGTGTAACGGAATGTCCTTGCGGTAAACCCTGCGAGAAAGGTTTGAGCTGGATCCTCTATCCTGAGTTCTGGATTTGAATCCTGGACTTCGAGTCGTGGCTGAACCTGTCTCTGCGGTCCTGCCTGACTCTCATCATACTACTTCCCTGATGGCTCCCACAGGATTGTTGACATCCTTGTGGATTCATCTTCTTATTATAGACACATGCATTTCTAAACATTTGGTCTACCTACGCTGTAAAATGTATTATCTCTTCAATTTACACACGGCATCTATTGCACGTCTGTCCGTCCTGGGAGAGGGATCCCTCCTCTGTTGCTCTCCCTGAGGTTTCTCCCATTTTCCTTTTAAACTGTGGATTTTTCTCTGGAAGTGTTTCCTTGTACGATGTGAGGGTCTAAGGACAGAGGGTGTCGTATTGTCATACTGATATTCTGTACAAACTGTGAAGTCCACTGAGACAAATGTAACATTTGTGATATTGGGCTATATAAATAAAACATTGATTGATTGATTGAGCTCCATACTGTTTCAGAAATAATGCTTGAAGTGGTTGGGAACATAATATGGCATTTAATCACGGCAGCGTTTAGCTGAGCTTCTTCCGGTAGAAAACTCTCTTAGCAGGGCAAAGCTGCGTGACGCTACAATGGGGCGTGGCTAGCAGCAGCCGTTCCATTTAAACCAAAATCAGTCTTTTTGGAACAGGGCTGTAATAGGGGTATGAGCAGTATGAGGCATGGCTACAATGGGTGATCTGTTTGGTATTTTAAGCAAAAAACTTCACAGACATGTTTTGTATAGGTATGGCCCTACAATATATTTTTCAAATATAGCATAATAGGTCCCCTTTAACTATAATGTGACTGCTTATAATACATCAACACACATTTCATTTGTTTCCTGCTTTGACATTACAGTTCTCATTCATAACACTCCGTTCGATGTCTCACTATGGGATGCGCCTCATCGCGGAGCAAACAGAAGCATCAATCTCATTTCGCCAATCCTGATTGGCTGGTGATCTTGATGTCAGCGTCAGGGAATTCACCCCCTATAAGTAGCTTGCGCCACGACGCATGCGTCATTCAAACACCTCTTCTCGCTTCAGAGCACATCTCTATAGTAGCCGGACAAGCTTAACGGTCCACAGACTGAACCCAAATATAACCATTTCGGTCAACGGGCGCTCGCCGGCTACTCCTTCTGCTTCGCAAGAAGACGGTAATACTAACGCCAGTTAGTATTAAAATCGACCTCGCCGTTTCTTTCCCCGGAAAGTAAGGTAAGGTTTTGATTTTTCTCAAGCTAGCTACGCACCTGTTGCTAGCTAGCTTCCCCTTACTACCGACACCATGGTAGCGAGGACGCTTTTCTTTTTCTCTCTCACGGAGGAGAAAAGGATTAGAAGTATATTGACACACCAGTCAATATTCTTTGAGAACAAAGGACCCACACCGTCCCTTTTTCTCCGGATTAAGGACGGGTTGGTAACACTTTTTCTCTCAACGACGTACCTGTTACGAGCGGGTCCTCTCCACGCCACGAGGCGAACAAGATGGACGCCTCTCCCCCTCACACCAGAGGAGTCAGGGACTCGGAGGCTCGGTCATGCGGCTGCGGGTTGAAGATAGCAGGCACAGATTCACACCAGGTCTGCTCGTCCTGCCTCGGGCTGGAACACGCCCAGGAGGCTATCGACAACCCCGGCTCGTGCGGGCATTGTGCCCGTTTCATCCGAAAGAGCCTCCACCGACGGCTAGCACACCA